TCACATACACGGATGCTCATCCCTTCACATGGATCCTCACAGATGCGCGCACACGGGTACTCACACACGGATGCTCATCTGGGTACTCACACACGGATGCTCACACAGGTACTCATGAATACTCACACGGGTATTCCCATGGGCACACACATGGATGCACACAAGGGTAGTCACACACATGGATCCTCATGGATACACACACAGATACTCATTAACGCACAGCGTTCACACACAGATACTCATACACAGAGGTACACAGATGGATACTCACTCCCTGGCTCATGCAGCCGGCAGCCCCTGAGCGCCTCCTATGTGCCAGGACACACACAGAGACACTCTTCATGGCATACTTGGCGGGCTGCACATGCTGAGTGGAGACTCCACCACAGACACTTGTAGACCTATGGGCACATAGAGACACACCACGGACACCTGAAGGCGACACACCCAAGCAGATGTGCGGACATAGCTGCTTGCACGGGTAGCCTCATACTCCCAGGTGATGACACATGCATGTGCACTCAGAAGGAGTGTCAGTTAGAGACACATGCACAGGACACACACACTCAGCTGCAAATGCCGTCGTGGACACCCAGACTCGGCTGCACCAACACACCCGCATGCAGTGAGGACACGCAGGCCCATAGAGCACGGACACACACCCAAGTGAGACACACATGCCCACAGACACACCCATTCGTTGTTCAGGATGTATCTGTGGCGCCCCACTCTGTGCCAGGCCTCTTCTGGTGCTGGGGACCCCGCAGTGCAGACAGAGCCCAAGGGACAGTGCCAAAAGCCAGGTGTGCAGATGCCACAGGGCCGGGAGGTGGACATTGCGGGTGGGGAGGCACATGGTGGGAGGTAGAGGTGGAGGGTATACGTTAAAGTGGGGGGCAGAGAGGCCTCTGAGGGGCAGCCACCAGGAGTCAGACCCTCCCAGATCCCGGGAGCACCCAGAGTCTACAGGGAAAGGGAGTGAGTCCCCGGGACAGGTTTCCTCCCTCCCTGGCTCATGCAGCCTGCAGCTCCTGAGCGCCTCCTGTGTGCCAGGCTCTGGGGACAAAACAAAGATGCCTGATATCGGGGACTCTGGTTCAATGGATGAGACAGACACCACACAGACAGGGCAACACCTGGCCCCCCAAAGCCCAGGGGGCACACTCAGACGCGCAGGGTGCCCGTGCCCCCGCACGCCTCAAGGGACGCACCGCTGAACGGGGCGTTCCTTGGGGCTGGACACCGACGGTAGGTGGGAGGCCAAGCCCTGACGCAGGGCCCTCTCGCCCACTCCTCTTGCGTGGCGGTCGTGCTGACGCCCTGGCCCCTCTCTGCAGGCGGAGTGACCACCTTTGTGGCCCTCTACGACTACGAGTCACGGACGGAGACCGACCTGTCCTTCAAGAAAGGCGAGCGGCTCCAGATTGTCAACAACACGTGAGTGCCCCCTTACCCGCTGCCCCTCGGCCCGCGGGGGTTGCGCGCGGGGGTTCCTCGCCGCGTGGAGCTGCCGGCAGAGGGCAGCGTGGAGCCGGCCCTGCCGCTACGCCTGGGCAGCGCCCCTGTGGCCTCGGCCTGGGGACCCTCCCGCCCCTGGCTCCCGCTTGCTGCGTCCAGCCCTCTGTCAGCTTCTCCCTCTCTCTGCTTCTCTCTCGCTGGCCTGTAGGAGGAAGGTGGATGTCAGGTGTGTACACGCTCCGTGGGCGGCGGGCTGGGGCTTCGCGCGGGGGCTGCTGTCTGCCTGGCTTCACCTCTCGTGTCCCGCCTGCGTTTTCTGGCTCCCTCGCTGTCCCAGCTTACCCTCCACCACCTCCAGCGTCCTGGTTGGGACCTTAACCCAGGCGGAGGCTGGGGGCCCCCACTGCACCCCCATCTCCTCCCCACCCTCTTCCTACTAACGGCCCCTCCCATTCTGACCATCACCCCCCTCGAGCGCCGCTGCATGCAGGGTCAGAGCTTTGTCCGGTGAGTCCTGGGTGGAGAAGGCCTTGTCCACGCCCTCCTGGAGCCAGGGGGTCCAGGCCCGGGTCTAGGTGGAGAGCCAGATCTGGGCCACTCATGGAGCCCCTGCCGTGCGCCTGCCTCTGGTGGTGACCACGGGGACTGGCAGGGCCCAGGGTCTGGAAGGAAGACAGCAATGGGCCCAGGTGGAGGCAGTGGAAGGCCACCACTCAAGGAGGGGCAGCTTGCGGGTGGGTGGGGAGAAGCCGACCCCCAAAGGCCTGCCTGAGGAAGCTGGGCGTCCCGCCCTCCCCAGCACGTCCTGCCTATTGTGCCTCCCTTCCCTGTGCATGCTGTTCCTCTGCCTTACACGTCCTTTCTCCAGTCTCCACCTGGTGAACTCCTATGCATCCCTCAAGATCCAGCGCAGGACTGCCTTCTCAGTGAGGCAGAGGGAACAGAGGTGTCAGGTGCTGTGCCAGTCGTCTTCACCCGTGTCCCCGTATCTACTCCTCTTTGCAGTCCAGGCAGGGCGGAAGTGATGGGAGGAGGCTGTCTCCAGTTTGCAGATGAGGAAACTGAGGCTCAGAGAGGCGAAGGCCCTTGTCCAAGGCCACACGGCTGCCAAGCAGCAAAGCCAGGGTTGGCGCGTGGGCAGTGTGCTCCCCCCACTTGCTGTCGGAGTCCCGGAGCCGCTCTGGTTTCTTTATTGGCACCAGTTGTTTGCATCTGCTTCCCCAGACTGGGAGCCTCTGGAGAGCTCGCCGGTCTTCCTCACTTCCGGGTCCCCATACCCCTGTCGTTCAGCACCCGGGGGCGCCCGGCAGGTGTCAGGAGCGGGAGGCAAGAGCAGCAGCGACATCATCCCCGCGCCTTGTGCTCTGTGTGAGCCGGGTCCTGTGCTGAGCGCTTGCACGTCGCCACAGAAGTGGGAGCTCTTGCTCGCTCCATTTTACAGAGGAGGAAACAGGCCCAGAGAGGTGAAGTGACATGCCCAAGGTCACACAGCTAGTCATGGCTGAGCTGGGAGCGGCAGGCCCACCCTGCGACCCATGGCCCCTGCAGGAGGCCTCTGTGGGGTGCAGCCGAGCCTGGTGGAGAGAAGGGCCATGCAGGGAGGGTGCCTCACAGTGGTGGCTTTGAGATCCTGGGGCCGTAGCTCCAGCCAAGTGTGGCTCAGGGAAGGCTCAGGGGCTCCAGCTCTTTCTCCGAGTCAGGGCCGCCCCTCTTCTCCGTCCCCTCCCCCTCCCTTCTTCCTCCAGGATGGGCTGGGAGCGTTTGGCTGGGCCTGGAGCTGTCAGGAGGGCTGGAAGTGACGGGGTGTCATCGTGGGAAGCCAGCCCCGGCGGCAGTGAGGGGCCTTGGTTGGGGCGGGGCGGGTGGGGAGGGGCCTTTCCTCCCCGAGCTCAGCTGCTCTTTGCTTAGAGCTTGGGGTGGGAGTAGAGTTGGGAGCCGGCCCTGGAGGACGAGGAGAGAGAAGGGGATTTGGGAAGGCAGGCTGCCCACACTGGAGGTGTTCAAGGCTCACGCCTCACCCAGGGCCCCCTGCAGACCCTTCTGCCGCCCTTGCTTCCGCTCCAGTGTGGTTTAGCTGCTCACTGTGCTGCCCCGCTTGCCCACCTGGGGACTCTGCCCATCAGTCCCTGTCCTTCCGTGTCAGGGGTCTGGGAGGCACAAACCTGCCTCAGGTGGCTGTGCCCACTTGCCCGCCTCTGTGAGAGTCAGGGGCTTCCTGCTTCTAGATGGGGCCCCATCAGGCGTAGGGGCTGGCCTGGCGGTCAGGGAGGTGGAGAGCGCGGAGGGGAGCCCGTTTGTCGCTGGGGCTTGGCCAGGTTGGGGTCCTCAGTGGAGCAGGATAGTGGTGCCAGTGGCCCTGGGTCCCAGGAAGCCCCCCAGGGACTGAGGTCTGACTGCCCCGAGCTCACTGCCCCAAGGTCCGATCTCCAGGAGCCAAGGCCCCCTGGGCTGAGCTTGGGCTCTCTCTGAACCGCCCCTCCCTCCCACCCATGTTCTAGCAGCTTCTTTGGGGGAGCTTTCCAGCTGACCTCTGCCTCCTTTTCCTGGGCGTTTCAACCACGAACCACCTCAGGACTCCAGAGCCCCCAGGTTCCTGTGTTCATACCCTCCCACCACGGCTGCTTGGCCTCACCTCTCCCTCGCCCCACAGACCATGTGCCTCGGCCTGGGGCTGTCAGTGGCCTAGGGCTGTCAGTGTCAGCTGGCTACGCCCGGCTGCCCCTCCCCATGGTGCGTTCCTGATGGGTCCGGTGGCCCAAGTGAGCTCGTGTCCATGCCCAAATGGGCACATGTCTTGGTTCCAGAGCTGCCACACCTCGATCCACGTGCTCGCCTGGCTGGACACAAAGATTCAGGTCCCCAAAGAGACCCTGAGAATCAGAGAGGTGAGGCCAGCTGCCTGAGGTCACACGGCTGGTGAACAGCAGTAGGGATGTAAAACCGCAGGTCGGGCCTCCAGGCCAGCACTTCCTCCTCTGGCTACTGATGGGAAGCGGGGTGGGGTGGGGTGGGGGTATGGCGAAAGACCCTACCTTCCTCCTGCCCCAGGGAAGGTGCTGGGTGCAGTGAGCTCGGCCTGGTAGACGGATGCCCAGCACAGCCACTTGAGGCAGGTTTGTGCCTCCCAGACGCTTAACGTGGAAGGATGGGGACTGATGGGGAGTCCCCAGGTGGGCAAGTTGGGGCTCAGATGATAATCACAGTAATCACCTCAGCCTGCCCCGAGCCCAGCTTGATCCTCACTCTTGACACACTCTGTGCCAGGCATATTCTGTGAGTGGCACCTCCTTTTTACGAATGAGGAGAGTGAGGCCTAAAGAGGGCAGGGCACTTGCCCAGGGTCACACAGCACATCCATGCTGGAGCCGGGACCCTGCTGCTTTGGCTTGTAAAAATGCTGTGCAGTGCAGGGAGGGGCACCACAGAGACACAGATGTAGTCATTTTTATGTTGTTTTGTTTTAGCAATTCAAGACCCTAGCAGCTCATGCGTGTTGAGCACCTACTATGTGCTGGGCCCTGTTCTGGCATTTTCCATCCTCAGAGGGAGGCATGACTATTCCCATCCTGCAGATGAGGAAGCTGAGACCGGGGTGGCAGGAGGGGGTGGAGGGACCGAGGGCAGGCAGCCAGCAGGTCAGACACCTCCCCCTTGGGGGCTGGGCTGAAGTGGGGCCTTGGGTCCTTCAGGAAAGCAGCTGTGTGTCTCTGTCCCTGCCCCTGGGAAGCAAACCCACAGACTGGCCTGGGACGCCCGGACTCGCATGTGGGCTGATGGTGGGGAGCTGGGAGCTCTGCTGGGGAGCTGCATTCCTGCTTCTGGGGCCCCATGAGGCTGGCCTCCGGGCACCTGCTTCCTGCTGGCCGCCACTCTCAGTGGGTGGCCAGGGGCTTCCCCGAGGCTAGCCAGCTGGCAGACTGGCTTTGTCAAGCGGCCGCATGCTGTAGCCTCTGACCTTAGACGTTGGCCCAGTCCTGGTATGGCCTGTCCCCTGCCCTAGCCCTGCCATCTCTTCTTCCTTCTTCCACTGGCTTCCCCGAGGGTCTCAGCCTCTGGGGGGCCAGTGAGGCCTGCTGTGGCTGTGGACACTCAGGGGCCCTGGTGCTTACCCTTGTTGTGCCATGAGTCCCTGTGCGGCTTTGGACAAACCACTGTCCTCTCCGTGCCTCGTTCTCCCCACTGGTGAATGGAGGATGCAAATCGAAAGGTCTCAGAGAGCTGTTCCCTGTGACTGGAGTCTTTGCTTTGTAGCTTTGGGCAAGTCCCTGCCCCTCTCCGTGCTTCAGTTTCCCCAACCCAAAAGAAAGCACCTGGCTACTCTAGCCTGTGTGCTGTGTGTCCCTGGGCTGGTCCCTCGACGTCTCTGAGCCACAGTTTCTTCTTTGGGGGTGGGGGGACCTGGGCCTTGCCTCCTTCCCTTGCAGGGTCGAATGGGACAGACCCGTGTGGATACCCTGGGTGGGAATGCAGCAGGCAGATAGGTGGAGATTTGGGGTATCTGAAGGCTTCTATCCTTGAGTGGGACTTGCCCCCGACCCCAGGTCCCCCGTCTCCCTGAGACCTTGTGTCCTGGGGCCATCACACGGCATGAGACCTTGTGTCCTGGGGCCATCACACGGCGTAGTCAGGCTTGTGGCCCACCCACACCCTGTGCCTCACTCTGTCGGGAAGGGCCCCATCCCCTCTGGGTCCCCTTGGCCCATCCAGCCGAGCCCCGGGGTCTGGGTGCTCGCCTGTCCTCTGACGGGCCCTCGGGAGCTCCCAGCCCTGGTCTCACCTGGCCTCAACGTGTCCATCTTTCACACAGGCCGAAGAGTAGGGCCAGGGAAGCTCAGAAGAGCTGGGAGCCGGTGCCGGCTCCCAACCCAGATGCCGTGACTGGAGGCAAGGGCCTTCCTCCCTCTGGGCCCTGGCGGTGGGCGGGGCCGTCCTGTTCCGGGCGCTCCTTCTCAGGTCAGGGCCAGGGTCAGAGGCAGCCCTGGGTGGAGAACTGGGCAAGCGGTCAGGCCCGCTGCGTCCTGTAGGGAGGGTCCCTTCTCAGCCGGGAGCCAGGAGGGCTGGCCTGGCTGTGTGACCTTGAGCAGAGGACTGTGTTGCCCCGGCCTCAGGCTTCCCATCTGTGGGGGGGTGGGAGGGAGCCGGACGAGTCCCCAGGCCGC